AAACTCTCTACAGCACTCCACAGGAACAATGAATTGATACCATCTTCTGTCATACTAACAAAACAACAGACAGCATGCGTTACCGAGTACTATCTTCCTTCACATATACAATCTACACCAACAAATCTCTCTACAGCACTCCACTGGAACAATGAATTGATACCATCTTCTGTCATACTAACAAAACAACAGACAGCATGCGTTACCGAGTACTATCTTCCTTCACGTATACAATGTACACCAACGAAACTCTCTACAGCACTCCACAGGAACAATGAATTGATGCTATCCTCTGTCATACTAACAAAACAACAGACAGCATGCGTTACCGAGTACTATCTTCCTTCACATATACAAAGTACACCAACGAAACTCTCTACAGCACTCCACTGGAATGATGAATTAATACCATCTTCTGTCATACCACACTAACAAAACAACAGGCAGCATGCATCAGTGACTATGATTGCCACCTTCCTTCATACTGCAGTAACGAAACAATGAACAGTATACATCAGTGACGATAAATGGTGAAAAGTCAAGCCTTCAGCAAAATAGTGTTTTAGTTAACATTAGGCCGACATCAAAGAAAACTCTCTAATACTATCTAGAAATAAATAACTTAATTAAATGTTGAGCTTTACAATTGAAATTAGCCGAACTTATGAAACTCCATCCACTTTGCTTTGAAAATCTTCATACAAATCTAGTGTTCAGCCTTTTTTGACATACAATGTATATAAAAGTTTACACAAGTTGAAGAAGCTTAATCAAATCACAAACTTATTTCCAATCAGGTTATTATCAAAATCAAATAATAGTCATTGATGATACCAGGCATCTCCAAACTTTAAAGTAAACCTAGTATATAAGCATTAAGCATACTTAATTAACAACATATCAAATCTGTTTAACTGTCATACCTAAATGAATAAACATTTAAGTTAATGCTACTTCGCTGGTTTCAATGAATCTGCCAGTTATTAGGCACAATGCATTAAAAAGTTAATTTACACAAATAATACGGGGTAGGTGGCGAGAGACCAGCTTCTCCATACAAAGGAATATGTCAGTAGCATCATCAGACAAGCTCTACCTGTTCACAATAGTAAAGCTTTAGAGGAATAAAAAGAAATGCATATCACTCCTCGAAAATAAAATATTTCAAAATCCTACAAAGATATGCTAAAAATGTTTCATGTAGATTCAAAATACTTGCCATTCTTAACCTACTTTTGATAAATGTTTCCAGAACCATACACATACTAGGCCTTTTATATAATAAACACACCATGTCAATTTGTCAAAAAATCTAGGATGTTTGTTTGTAGGTGTTAAAAAAATAATGTATAGTTTTGTCTCAAAAAATAACTTTTTCTCTTTATAAAATCAATTAAAAGTGACTATTTTGTCACAAAGTTAGTGCAAACATGAAAAATACTTGCGTAAAATATGTTTAATTAGTATAAAATCTGATCAAAAATTCATTGTACATTGTTGATATTGGTGGCAGTATACATGATTTACACAAAGTTACTTGATGTAATTAAAGATGTATTCATGCATGTATATACATTACTATTTCAAGTTATGAGCAAGTGTTCGAATCGTTCAAAATTGACGTTTTATTTTTTGAGCAAGACCTAAATGAGAAGGTTTATGAGTCTGATGAAAAGCAATTCTTATTAAATTTCCAAGAACAAAATTTGAATATATACACATATATATATTTTTACGATTTATTTCTATATATTTCTATATATGTATACACAACAACTGTACATCAATAACAACTTTTAAACTTTCACTTAGAAAACAACACATTTACCAGCACTGTTATTACAGCTATTCCATCATTAACCAACCGGGGTGTGTGTGTGTGTGTGTGTGTGTGTGTGTGTGAGGTGGGAGGCACCTGAAATTAGTATAGGGTTAAATTGTAACACACTTATATTACATCAGTTTCAATATTTAATAGGAGGTGGAGCGATTGTAAAAGAACTACCCACTTTTCCCATCCAGTCCAGGTCCAGTACACTTTGCTGATCGAGCCATACACAATGTATAGCTGTAAAGATTGAAGCTATATCCAACTATATTTTTAATTTATACCTGTACTGAGCTATATTTTCTTAGCTTTCAATTTCAATAAAAATAAAGCAAAGTTACATTGACTTCGAAAAGCATAGTTTTTCAAAAAAGGTAAAATTTCTGAGTTTTTTCATCAACTATTTTTTAAAGAAGAATACATTTATTTGATGTCTTTTTTGATCAAAATAGTGATAAAGTCTTTGAAATACAACTCTGTGTTGTTTTCTTTTAGAAAAAAATTAGCTCAAAAGCCTTATATCAGATAGGTCGATACAGCTAGTATAAGTCTTTACTGATACAAAGCTTAATCAGCGGAGTGGAATGAATACAGTTAATTCTGGAACAGCCTTTACAAAAAATAATTTCAAACAGTTATCTGAGCTTTCTAAAAAGGGCACTAAGTTGAAGCACAAAAAAATATCTTCATTGACGGGAATACAGTTCTACTTTCATTTTGTTCCCACCAGTTATATAGTAACAGTGTGATGGTCATTTTCACTAAAATGAAGAATTTCTACAAGAAATACTTATTTCATGTAAAAAAGATGAATATCAAAGCTGAAACTTTCAAAACCAACCAATGGAAAGTTAGAGAAGATCATTACCCGGACAATGATATATGACTACTTCACTGTATGTTTTTTTTCTATCTATGATGCCGAAAGATCTTTTTCCACTTACTGTACCACTTCATGACTTTCCAATAAAGTCCCTTTAAGGAAGCAACAAATAACAACAAAAGAAAAAAGTTAAAAGAATAATTTGACAATAATAAGAATCTTCTGTGAAAAATAATATCTAGCACTAGAAAAAGACATACAAATGAAAACATAAACAAAAGTACTGCTGAAGGTGATTCACGTTGCGATACAGTTTCTTGGTATTGTGCAGTCTGACGATTTGTTCAGTACAAATATGTTGAGAAATAGTTGCCTAACAGAGCCGTCATTTTTTACTTTTTAACAAAAGTAGATATCCAACAAAAATTCATACATGTTAATATAAACAAACTTTAATAATACAATGTCAGAAAAAATCAATCATCAATAGCATCATAAACAAAGCAGTTGTATTGATTTTTCTTTACATTTCGTATTGTTTCATACTACTGTTCTGACAGGAGAAGCATTGGAAAATATTTCCAATTTTTATACATAGCAAATTAAATTACAAAATCAATTTTTTTTCTTTTTTAACTACACAAAGAAGCCATTTATTTAAGTCTATAAACTTACACAAATGCAAAATTGCAGAAATCCCAAACATACGGACATGTGTATGTCCACACACCTCGGTCTATCACAGAAATACAACACCCACTGTCACAAATGTCACACAGCCTAAGTTCAAAGTCTCTATCCTAAAAGCAGTCCTCCTTTTTGGGTAAGAAAGCGACGAGCAAGATCAGTCATTGTCATCTGGTCCTCGGACTTGCCACATGCAACTCGCTCAAAAGCAGAATCAAGCTGAAAATAATAAAAACATATATAAAATTTAATAGCTATCTCCATACCAGGTAGACAAATAACCCTAATTTTTTATAATATCTAAATATTTTTTGATTTATCTACCCTGGTATTTATTAAACAGCACTTTCGTTTTGGTAATACATGTCTTAGGATGCTATTGATGCAGTTGACTTACATAACAATGCAAACTATTGTGAGCAATCCAGTGTCTCACATCTGGATAAAAATGAGCAAGGTTGCTAGCAGGCAGGTTGATTTTCACATTTAGATTGAAATAGGTTTTTGATTGAAGATCAAGGTATTTCTTCAAAAAATATTTTTGCAATAAAACTGAGAAAATGTTTACATTTACAATGTAATGAAAGAAAATCATACCTTTACTATTGATTTTACAGGAGCATTATCCGAGAACTTGATTCGTTTTATCGACTTCTTCCCAATGCGCAGCTAGAAATAGGAAAAAATAGCAAATCAATTTCAAGCAATAAACATAAGCAATCTGACCAGATATGATATTAAAGTTACAAGCACACCCTTAAGATCTCCAAATCATTTTGGAATAGAAAATTAGAGGGTCCCAAAAGAAAGTCTTATATTTCTCAAAGTACAAAAACCTCACCTCTCTCGCTTTTTCCTGTTGAGATAGTTTCGGAACAGCAAACACATCCATAATTTCCTCAGCCAGGGCCTCTTTTATGATTGAGGGCGGAGAAAACAGGATACTTGTGTCTCCGATTAGGGACTTACTCTGAGAAAAAGTATTTAATATTCATAAATCACACTTTGGCACAATGTGACATATGACAGTAACCATACATGAGACTCAATACTGCTAAAAGTACTGTCCACATGTTACACTGCAGTATTGTCTACCTGGTCGTATCTTTTTACTGACTCTGCTAGAGGGAACTTAAAGGGTAAAGTACTGCAGTGGTAATCACTTATGAAGTTTTTTCGGTTAAAAACAACATGACAGATTCTTTAATAATAATAATAAAATCTTTTATTTAGACAGGGTTACATACTTAGATTTACATCTAATTTATAATATGGCCCTGTAATACACAATTTACGATTGACATGGTCATGATACATACAATGACATATACATCATAAACAAATAATAACAATATGTGCAGATCCTGACATGGTAAAGTATAAAACTATTCGTCACATCTAAAACATTATCTGCAGACAGATTCTTTAAAATATCAATAGACAAATGAATTCAACTTGGGGCAGACTTGTTTTCTTGTCTCCAATAATTGATACTATATGTACACAAGTTTATGAAGGTAGAAAAAGAACACTTTGTGACATACCGGGGTTTCTGGTGACATGAGAAGTGACTCGGCACTGGTGAATAGGGAACCTTCAGACACTGGCCACTTCAGGGACTGCCTCGCCTTCCTGTTTTTATCTTCCTGTATCGGTTATCAACAATAGTTTATCAAAAGCTATTTCTTGCATGATGCCAATATATCACAAATCTATCTTCACATTTAAAGCATTAATACCTGTATAAAATACCAATAATTTCTTTTCACCACTACTCTTTATCAATGCTGTGTCTGACTGAAATATATCCATTTTCTTTTCGCCTGCGTTTCAAAATTTTCCTAAAATTTAAGATCTTTGTGTGATGGTGAAAATAACTGCAATAGAAGTTGCAGGTTTCTTTGATAGGGGATGTTCACGTGGTGTGGTTCTTAAAAAGTAATCCTCTCGAATCTGCTCATCCTTTATTTTATTCCCTATGAATCTAGCCTTTTTTCAGCACCATCTACTCCTACCCTGCTTCTTATATACCTATAACTTCAAAATATTTCCCACATTTAAAGACTGAGGTATAGGGTAAAGAATATTGTATTTTTAACCTGTTTGCCTTGCTTGCTCTCCTTGGGTGTCAAATTGAAGTCCATGGTGGACAGGTCTCCTTCATACCCAGTGTCCTCTCTGATCATCTCATTAAGGTCCTCCAGCTGACCCGGACTCTACATTAAAATTAACGTACATTATCATAAATGGCCTTCAATAATAACAATTATATATATATATATATACAGTAAAACATCACCTAACAACCACCTCAAAATTATATGTTTGTGCTTCATGTCCTATTAACAGCTATGGTGATTTAAGGATGTGTCAGGTTTTGATGGTGGAGGAAAGCTGGAGTTCCCGAAGAAAAACCACCGACCTACGGCCAGTACCTGGCAACTGCCCCACGTAGGCCTCGACCCGACCACCTCGAAATTACAACCACCCAGCTATTGCAGGCTTTTGTTTCCAGTCTGTTTTTTTATATTTTTTTTTATCTTTATATTGACTGCTTCAATAACAAGGCATCACAAGTGATACAAATCCCCTCGCATTCACACAGTGTGACATATTAACAAAAAATGAATGATTGCTTTAATAATAAACCACCCTGCGATTCCATATTACGACCCTTTTCACAGCCAAAATGACTGCTAATTAATGGAAATGAACACTGTCGTTGCGACCAAACTCTGACCAGTCGCCAGATTTACCTGATGTGCAGTCAACAGCAAGTGACTGCATGTGTTTCGGCGTCAATCTTTTATATATTACAGTCATTACATTATTTGTTTCTTTGCAATTCTTATCATCTATCTTATTTCTTTGTTCACAAAAGACACTCAAGTTAAAGGGTGCCGATGCATCAATTATAATTGTAAAGAAGAGTTCCACTTTTGAGTATGCTCCTTTATATATAGAAAATGAAGCCACCAAAACGATTTTTCTGTTGTAAAATTACTTCCTTTGTCAACGTAATTATCTCTCATTCCTGGATAGATCATTGGAAAATAGTAGCAGTATAGTTTTTGTTTTACTTTTTATTATTTTATTATTAATTTTATTTCTAAATACTCTAATTTCAAAGAACTATACTGCTGTAAAAAAGCATCACAACTATATCAGCTAACTGTGTGTGAAACAAACCCAAAGTACCATAATTCAATTTCAACAAATCTGCTATGACAGGTGAGCTAAAAATGTATCCAAATTCCTGATACTGCATAAATATGTTGTAGGGTGTGATAATGACCATATCTCATTTGTACTCACAATATCTTTAAAGGTTCTGGATTTCTTTTCCATCTCGGCCAGGGCAGTCTTGAATGGAGTGGGAGTGCGTGGAGTGGCATTCAGTATAGACCTGCGGATCCGTGGTGTGCAGTAGTTCCCTCTGTTGGTAACAAACATTACATAAAAATGTGGAACTCTTGTTAAGATATTCTAATCAGTATTGCATTATGATGATGTGATATGCTTATGAAATGCAAACTCATGAAATTTATAATATTCACCACTAAGCAGTAGAAAAGAATTCTACTTTCCTTTGCCTTCATTTTCAATAGCCTGACAAAATATCTTTGAAGAATTTTTGTGAAAATCCTATGAGCTCAGGCATCATGCTACTGGAATTCTGTATTGACAAAATAACTGTATGTCCGACTACTGATGTATATCTTACCTTGAATCGCGTTTGATCTCCGGTGTATCCAGGACACTGTTGTTGGTAGGTGTGACCAGGTGAGCCTGACCACATACTGGTGTTGACGTCAGTTTACCAAAGGGAATTTCTGGACTATTCAAAAACTGTAAAAAACAGCAATATATATTAATGGTCTTATTACCGAGCATGGGCTTCTTGCCGATATATCCAGTACAACCAAAAATACATAGACATATCAGAGTACAACCATTAAAACATATATATATGATTTAATATGATCAATTTAATATATTTAATTTAATATATAATAATTATATATATATATATATCTACACATATATATATGTGTAGATATACAACTACACTTATACAGAATACTTATCCTAAAGTCACAAGAAAGGGAAAAATAATCCCACTTTTCAATTTTTTTTTCACTTTTTCAAATACACACTTGTGATGGAGAAAATGGCAAGTTCTTTATTGGTGTTCCCTTAGGGGTCAGATGTTCCTCCTTATCATCTGAAGAGTATGGAGATAAATAGTTTCTGTTGGGAGTTTTATCAAGTGAATAAATATTAATGTTCTCTTTGTAGGCACTTTGGTTAACAGGTTCAACAGATTCTTCCTTCTTGGGATCACTCCTGTACATGTCTGTCCAGTCAGTACGAGGAGTCTTAGCACTTTCCTTTACAGGTCGGGAAGAAATACAGATCTGAAAAAAAATGTTATGTAATTAATTTCCTTCATTTTTACATCTTCCGAGAAAAAAATACATGCAACAAGTTACAATGTAGAAAGATTAGGGGCGACCAAAAACAGTCAGAGCAGTGTAGGCAAAACAAAACAAACGAATGGTCAGGAGATTGAAATACACATATCATATATGTTTTTGCTAAAGGTTACTTCCTTTTCTGAATTCTGATATTATTACAATATCTCTGTTGCTGCACTGAATTCCTTGTTCAATATTTCCTTGAATTATCAATTAATTTCTACCAGGGGAATAGTTGAGTAAATAATTTTGTTTATCACATAAACATGTTAGCATGTTATGAAGTGTTCATGAAATAAGTTTGCATTTTACCTGTTGTAATAGCTCCCATCAGAATTAAAATAATGGACTTAACATCACACACCATTAAACAAACAATGTAAGACATGAAGCCAAGATGGCAACAATGTCAGGAGAAAATCGTGTTTTTTGCAAATATTCACAATAAGTTGTGGTATAAATGTAAGAAATTAAATGAATCTTTAAATTGTTTCCAATTTGTCCCAAAGATTCAAATTTAACTTAACAGAACCTTGCTAATAGTGACACACTTCATCAGACTGGTTTCTTTACTTGTATATATGAAACGCAGACTCTTTTAACTTCCTATTTTCGGGAAAGATTGATCGAGATGTCTAGGAATGTAATAAAGAGTACAATTTGTAATGTCAATAAGCAAGCTTTACCTTTCTCTTGCCCTTCCTTAGGATGGCTGGCTTTGAGAACTTGGAGGTGACAGGTGACGTGATAGGAATTAGACGCCCAGGACTCTTTAGGCGCTGGATAGCCTTACCATCAAACCTGTAACCTGTGGGGAAAATAGAAGATATTTACTGTAATGCTGCCAAGATAAAATCCTCCAAATTGTTTGAAAAACAATGATTTAAAAAATTATGAATTAAATGAAATTAATCAAAAAAGAATGTGTTCCGAGTTATAGATTCTGGCTGGTCTTTCACCGATGGATAAACAATGGATTAATACTATACACTTAGATTTAAATAACCCAAAAAGTGTGATCAAATGTGGCTCTAAGTTACAACTGGTGATTGTACTAAAGAACAATAACTGTCCATGCTTCTGTGATATCATGCCATCACTATACTGTGAAATCACAAATTTTTGTGGGGATTTTTTTCCCCTCTGTTCATGGGTAATCTTCATCCACGAATATATATATCAGTGTAGTAACTACAAGGTTGACATAAAGCTATTTTACCTTTGTGTAGGTACTCATAATCCACAAAATGGTGTTTTTTTCAGGAAACCACAAAACTTTGGCCCCACGAAAATGTTTGATTTTACAGTATGGTTTTACAGGACACATCTTCCTGTAATTTATTTCAATTATGAACAAGATGTTCTACAAGGTGGTCTATATAGTGTGAACAGTTCTCATGTAGCGAGTACACCAGAACACTTGGCCTTAGCTTGACAAAGTTTATATCAATTGATACTGAAATGTAGCAATGGTAACAATCATGATCATCACTGCAGAACTTGACCAGTCGGTTCTTTGTTGTCTTGCTGAGCCAAAGAAAACAAGACTATATATAGCCCTTTAATGATTAAAGCAAAATGAAAGTCATTACCATACGGGACAAGACAAATTGTGAGGAAAAATCAGTAAGGCCAAAAAACACTAATTACGTGGTTCTCAGGCCATTTTTTTTCAAAAAGAGATGTGGCAGGGAGGTATTTTTTTCCATTTTACATGGCAAAAATGAGACGAGGGCGTTTTTCTTTGTTATGTAGTTCGTAAAACGTTCATTGTGGGCATTACCTTGTCTTTTTATAGTTGTATAGAGACCCGTTACAGAGCAAGCCTCTGAAAATCCCCCCACGATGTTCCAGACGAGAATCACGAACCNCATAACCCCCCCCCCTTCCTTATTTGTACGGAAAGGAACGCCATTTGTACACGAGACTAACAAGTCATAATCATTTTAACGCTTGCCTGTATATCAATCCTTATCTTTATTCAAAAGTTTTCAGGACTTGGGTGACTAACGAGTAAAAACGACATGCAGACCAATTTTCCGGATTTTTTTAAAGACGGCGACTGGCGCATTCACAATTTTTTATATTTCTTTCACGATAAAATCGCCAATGCGGTGCCCTAAAATGAAATACGTGCGGGCCTGAGATCCAAGTAATCAATTTTTTTTGGCCCAAGTGAGAAGGGGTGTGCTTACCTTTACTGTTCAAAGCTGTAAACTTGATGGGAGTGACCCCTGTGGTTGACCCCGTGCCACTAATCAGATCCAGAGTGGACAGACCACCGAAACCTGAGCCTGACTCGGCCAACGTTCCTGCTTCACTGGCAGTCCTTAAAATACATGAATATTATTGATAGAAACATTACATAGCATTAATATACACATATGGCCTTTCCACATGATTGATGATGGCCATTAACATTTCATAAGATAATGGTATATTTACAAGGTATTTATTTTTATAATGAAATACATGTATATCTTATATCATGTGTGTATATGGGCCTCTAATATAACAACAACATATTAAAGGAACATTTAGAACTCCTGTGATAGTAGAGGGTAAGAGGGTAAGAGGGAGGAACATTTAGAATTCCTGCAATAGTAGAGGGGAAGAGGGAGGAACATTTAGAACTCCTGCAATAGTAGAGGGGAAGAGGGAGGAGCATTTAGAACTCCTGCGATAGTAGAGGTGAAGAGGGAGGAACATTTAGAACACCTGCGATAGTAGAGGTGAAGAGGGAGGAACATTTAGAACTCCTGCGATAGTAGAGGGTAAGAGGGAGGAACATTTAGAACTCCTGCGATAGTAGAGGGGAAGAGGGAGCAACATTTAGAACTCCTGCGATAGTAGAGGGGAAGAAGGAGGAACATTTAGAATTCCTGCGATAGTAGAGGGGAAGAGGGAGGGACATTTAGAACTCCTGCGACAGTAGAGGTGAAGAGGGAGGAACATTTAGAATTCCTGCGATAGTAGAGGGGAAGAGGGAGGAACATTTAAAATTCCTGCGATAGTAGAGGGGAAGAGGGAGGGACATTTAGAACTCCTGCGACAGTAGAGGGGAAGAGGGAGGAACATTTAGAATTCCTGCGGTAGTAGAGGGGAAGAGGGAGGGACATTTAGAACTCCTGCGACAGTAGAGGGGAAGAGGGAGGAACATTTAGAACACCTGCAATAGTAGAGGGGAAGAGGGAGGAACATTTAAAATTCCTGCGATAGTAGAGGGGAAGAGGGAGGGACATTTAGAACTCCTGCGACAGTAGAGGTGAAGAGGGAGGAACATTTAGAATTCCTGCGATAGTAGAGGGGAAGAGGGAGGGACATTTAGAACTCCTGCGACAGTAGAGGTGAAGAGGGAGGAACATTTAGAATTCCTGCGATAGTAGAGGGGAAGAGGGAGGGGGAATGACATCTCTGTCAATTATCAAGATATGCTATTCTCCCTCCTCTACATATGAATGGCACAAATATTCAATGTGCAATACCCAGGTAGGATCTTTCTCTAACTTGAGGGTAGAACTGAGAAACTGAATCCTCAAGAGAAGATTCTAAACTATTCTAATCAGTCGCATATTACATTCATAAAAATGTATTATTGAATACAAATATTGTAACACGGTTTCTTTTAGACACAAAACTTTTGAAGCATTTTCTTTAAGCTTGCAAAAAGCGAATGTCATTGGCAGTGTAACATATAGCTTGACAAAACATCAAAACTTGAGTGGGGAGGGATGAACTTTTATTTTTTCATTTAAAATCAATTTCATTGTAATAAAAACTTAATGTTGTAGGTCTAGACATTACATATTAAAGGCCCAGATTGAGGGAATGGGGCAATTTACATGAACCGTCACTTTGGAAAAACATGGCCAAGAATTGAATGTCAAGGAATTTCAGTTACACCCATAAAATCAGTAAATAACTTTAGAATAAGAAGCATTTTGGAAAATTTGTTTCTTGTTTTTTGTTATATTTCTTTTGGTGAGGTAATTTAAAAGGGTAAACTGTTAAAATGTGTAAAGATGCCGTGAATTTACTGATGTAAACATGAGAAATGAGGACAAAAGTGACCATGCCATTTCCACCTGGTTATGGTAATTATTGTTTCCTCTCTCTCTAAATCTTTCCACTATTTTACTTTGTGGTCAATTCAACACACATGTAAATTAAAAATTTCAATTCAAAAATGACTTTGTAGAAAACAAATAGAATTTTAGCAATTAGTTGGATGTTTATAAAACAAGATGGGCGTAACATTTCGTGTCAAAATTGTTACGCCCATGAAGTGGCTTCAAGTTTAACATTTTGGTGTCCTCCGTTTGCAGTCGTATCATGATTGGCAAATTTTGAACCTGGAACGTGTGCAAAGCATACCGCTGACTTAGACTGGATAAACACGAAAAAGAACATTCTCGCTACATTTGTGGCAATATTTCGTGTCAAATCATTACGCCAATGATTTTTTATCTTGCCCCCAATTACGGTCAGAATGATTTCATAAAAAGACATTGACACTGATTTACGGCCTTTTGCGACATACACAACAATTGTCGAATCATGTGATAGCCACATTCGCAGTGTTTTTGAACGATGGCGGCAGAGGGTGTATGTGCAGACGATGATGGGTAGGTGTTACGCCCATAATTTTTGTGTGAGACAACATACAAAGCAGAGATGATAATGCATATGTTTACTTTATATGATGAGTAATTATATCACACGATTCAGAAGATTCTAGGGGATAGATAACGACGATCGTTGTTTTATCATGTCATTCTAAGCAAGAGAAAAAGACCGCGAAACGTGACCATACTGAAAACGACTGACTTTTTTCTTCGAGTCCATTGTTAAGCAATGTCATACAGATAAATTGCAAAACGTGTCAAACATTACACCCAAGCCGGGCCGGCCCGCTTTTGTTGTTTGTATTTCAGGAGAGGAATCGCGCTAAATATGTATGCCCCTGTAGTATGGTGCTTTTCAGGATTAACAATTTAATCAAAATATATGTTTCATGGGAATCACACCGTGAAGAAACGTTATTTGAAGGGTTGAAAAGATGACCGTGTCCATGTTACACCACGAATTTTCAGCGATTTTTAAGTGTTTTTTTCTCTTCTTTGAAGAAGGAGATTATCTTCTCATTTTAAGGAAAGTCTTCTATACAATAGCACAACAGTATGCAGTAAACATATAATGTTTAAATTCACTCTGAAAATATTGACATTTTGCAATTTGGGTGTAATAAAAATTCCTTGACATTAAATTCTTAGCCATATACATCAATATATATAACCTTTATTCCTTTTATAACAATTATGAAACAAGTTATATAACTTCTATTAATCCCTTTTGATGGCCCGGAAGTTAGCATGCAGGGGGTCTTTAAGTGGGAGGAAAGTGGAGTTCCCCTGAGAAAACCCATGATCTAACCCTGGCTGTCTTTGTGATAGGCAAGTGCCCTCGCCACTGTGCCACCCGACCACACACTTCGAAGAAAACATTTCATTTATATAGGTTGAACAGCTAATTTTGTCAGAACGAGAATGGTTACCATTTCAATCAATTGGAAACCTTGAGAAAATTTCAGTTATTTTTCCTTATTGACATTACAACATTTGTCCCTGATATCTCAAGTCAAATGTAATAGTTTGTGGTATGCTTTGATCTCATTTTGAGTATGTGGATTTATAAGATACCTTGCAATAGAAATGTAACAATAAGGCTGTTACTGTTAGCAGAGCCAACTCACTTTACAGGTGTACTAGTGATACCACCACTGTCCGAGGAGACACCCTGGTTAGGGAACAGCTGTACGGGCTGGACTGACTGGTAGTTGGTTGAGGTGCTTGGTGTATAGGCCTGCGTATATATACCAAGTCGCTGGTCCATGCAATTTTCGTCTTCATATTTACGCTTCATTGTCGAGTTCCAGTGGTTTTTGATGGCATTATCAGTTCTGTCAAAAAAAACATTGGTTGTTATTCTTGACTTCATGTATTTTCATAAAATTCTCTAAAGCATATTTGACAAATTATTCACTGCAATATTTTATTCTTTCATCAATTTCTACAAATGAGAGCAAAACAACAAAGCATATGCTTCAATATTGTTCCTTTGCAATGTTGAATCATCTGACATTCAGTGCAAATTTTTCAGGTGACAGACATCCCTCCCACATGGTTAATTTGTGGGAAAGCCTTTTTGCCTATGTTGTTGATAAAATTTTCATTATTCCTGATACTAACAAAGCCCTGTCCATAATATAAACAAATTATCAAGTAATTCATTTTCAAGCAGACTTCAATGTTCTGATGAAAGGGGGGTACAATTTTACCAGCCCAATGCCTGGGGCTAGCATTTTTTTTTTATGTCAGGGCTACTTTGAAATTTCGATATTTATATGAAAATAATGTTGGGCTATTGGCAATTTTCTGTCTCTGGACTAGTACTCTTGATATGAAAATAAACACTCCCGATGAATTTAATTACCTTCCAGGTAAGAACTTAGCAATCTCCGCCCATCTGTTGCCAAGCTGTCTGTGAAGTGAATAGATGAGGCGATCCTCTTCCTCCGTCCAGGCACACTTTTTTATATCCGGATTCAGATGGTTGTGCCACCTTTCAGAAGTTAAATGACAGTAAATAATGGAATATTATAACTTTATTTGTTTGGGATTTAATGTCTTCAAACAGTTAACATCGTATGAAGATGCCTAGGGAGACAGAGAATTTGGAAAAGAAAGATATGGATCCCAAGCGTTGAAACAGATGCAGCAGATGAATTTTAGCTTCTTCATTGTCCTCTGAGCAGAACAGAAGAAAACCCTTGATTTTTCAGGGGTCCGTACATGTGTTTAAGTTGCCTCTTACAATCATATGCAACCAGTGGGATTTAACAAGTCTATTCTTTACCTGCACCCGCAACGGTATGTATAGAAATGTCAGGGCCCCACTTTATAAAGTACTTCTTGATGTTAAAGAAAATCCCAATAATTTTAGAAAATCTTTTTGAATCAAAAGATATCAATTTCAGAATAATTAAAAGACTGTACCTTTCTCTACACTGCTTGCCAGTTCTCCCATTTAAGAGTTTGGAAATAAGTGTCCACCTTTTAGGACCAAACTTTTGAACAAGCTCCAAAACTTTGTCGTCTTCCTAATAAAAAAAAGTGAAATACATTGATTAACACATCACCTCAAGTTTTAAATGACTCATTCACCCCTGAAATTTCAAAATGAACTATTTCAACCTTTGAATTGGAAGGGTTCAAATGTGTCTTCAGGGGTGAATGAGCTATTTCCTCACATTTTTTGAAAGATAATATCTGGAAAACATTAGTCTAGATATCTAGGCCTGCTGTAGTCATATTCAATTATTGAATTACTTGCCTCCTTTGTCCAAGGTCCTTTAATAAGCGCTGGGTTCAGTACTTTATGCCAGCGATGCTGACACTGTATATCAGTACGATCAACGAAGTACTTTGCAACAAGTTTCCAGTCCTGCGTACCGCAAATTTCTAGAACCTTTTTCAATTTTTCGTCCTGCAATGCAAAATAGATTTCAGGTGAGTTATTTTGCACCATGTTGAAATACCATTCTCCAAAAATTTACTTTACTTATCCGGAGTGATATTTTTGAAATTCAGTTTTTGCATATGAAACAATAATTAATGCAAAACTTTACTTTTGGTAGCCTTATAATTGCAATCATAAATTGAAATGATAGAGGTTGAAATATAATTGTGTACCTGGTAAAATGTAAACAAATTCAATGTCCTTTTATCACTTATTACAAATCAACAAGAACCAGTTTTCAAGATATCTGCACGCTAATCCAAGGAAAGATGACACTACTTCTATAATTGCTTCCCCAAGTTTATATCTATTTTCCTAAGCTTTAAGGATCATTTTGTTTTAAGCCCTTTTAATCATATCAATCACTACTCTTATTTTTCTATCTACTGTTGTTGTTACTACTGTAAAAATATTGATAATATTTTCAGTGTTCCTAGAAACCCTCAAAACAGTTGGTTGTACCCCCAGTTTTCAACAATTGCCCTATGTAACTACATACCTAGGGGTACAGAATCTCGAAAATGTATCAAATATATCCATAAAATCAAATACAAAGTGGGAACACTGATTTTATTTTGTATCTTAAGCTAGGTCCTAATATGCAGTGATGGGTTTTTAAGTGTTTGCTAATTATTGTTTTATCTATGATTTACTGAATAATATTGACAATCTCTTGCCAAACAGTAAAAAAAATCCCCTTTGTAGTAAATTCATCATAGAATGTTTAAATCATGATCACCTCCTCTTTTGTCCACCGTCCTTTATTGATAAAACGGTATCCGAAGGTTTGAGAAGCATTGTAGTCGTGGTCAATATGCTCTCCTTCATCCGAATCCTCGTCACTACTGAAAGACTGTCTGCTGTAAGCTGCAGTTCTGGAAAATAGATGATATCATTATTAGTGACAATTGGAATAAATACTTTATGACCAACAGCAAACGTCTTTAATCTTAACCTGGCAATAAGCCGATGCCTGGTATATATATTTAGCCCACCTTATTGCAGTTCTGCAGAAATGTTGAAAAATGCTTTTTCATAGTCCTGGCTATTGATAATATAAGCCCCCCATTCTACTCAAGTCAGAGCATACGTTTTACCCCCTGGACTAACTGCATATTTATATAAGCACAGAAACAGGATGCTGATAAAAAGGGCAAGGCACTTACTAAGCATTACAAAAAAATATACAGATTGCAGCACTCGACCATTTCTTGCTAGTTGACATTGATACTCCAGAAGTTACACTCATTTATGCTCTCTCTGCACCCCTGCCCCCGGATTAGGTCATGACAAAAACAAAGTTTTAGTGTGTGCGTCCAAGTGGATAATACAAGACTAGTTTGATCCTTTGAAGTACTTGTATCAAAAGGATAGCTAGCTGTACATGTGTACCTTCAATTTTCCCATAACATAATCATGCAGGGGTGCAAACAGAGTAAGTGAACATAGTTCCTAGAGTATCGAGGATGGCTAGCAGCTGGAGGACTGTGGCTTGAAATGTTTGGGTCAATGTTAGCAAATTTTTATGTATTTACTATGAAAATACTGTCTGGAATTTATCAGTGGGTTTTGGGAAATGGACCGTGGGATGACATTTGGTTTTCATTTTAGCTTTATTACCAAAGATTTAAATTATTTTTAATAAAGGGAAAGGACATTTAAGAATGTGCCTCTGTGCTTTTGTCTAAGCTTATTTTAAAACATCCTTGTCCAACAGGAGCACTAATGAGTAAACACAAAAAAAAGCATTTGGATTCATGTCTTGCCTTTGCCCCGCTTTGACCATCAATGCACATGTCAAGTTTGGTTGGTCTAGCACTTACAATTATAGTTTCAGAGAAACTAACTAAATGGCAAAAACTTAATGTTGATGGAGATGTTGATAAAGTCAATGGACTATGAAAGGTAGGCTGCATCCAGCATTTGATTAATGGGTTGAGATAAATAGATGATCCAAGTTTGGTTGCATTGGTCTAGCACTTGTACTCAGTGAAACTAACGTTTAAAAATGCAAAAAAAATGTTGATGCTGCCGCCTTAGCCAGAAAAGCAACACATTAATCTTGCTTCTGCTACTTCGTGGCGGCGAGACAAAAATCACCCTCAACAAATTGTATAATTATAATTACTAACTGCATGTTACACATAAATGTCAACATTTTTACGAAATAGTGCTTCCTGAAGTTCCTGGTAATATGTTACACTTATGTCACATTATGCAAATGAAGATTGATTTTCACTGTCACAATTACAAATTCCTGATCTTATTGGAATTTCGTATTTTAAGGCCGATGTAATTGTTTACCTTTCGTTTTGTATCCTGTGATATGTATTATCTCGATAGCTGTAAACAAACGTCATTTTGGTGGATACATATTCAAGAAATAATTAGATTTCTTCTATAAATGCACGGGACCAACAAAACAATGTTGCCAGCCATTTTCTCGACGTGCTGCTCCGCACGCGCACGTGAAACGCCATCGCCATTGGTGATATTTTGACGTCAAGAATACGTGCACGTGCAAAAACGAGCCAACGTCAACGTTGCATTTTCTAATTTGATTAAATCCATATATGGCCGACGGACGGTTTTGCATTGTTTGGAAACCAGCTAAATGAAATCTGCATTGATACTTACGATGTTTATCGTGGTCAGATTACCACCGCACATGTGTCAGATGACCACAACATATATTTCGGCCCAGATGGCCAATCTATAGCAGGACGAATTACATTTGAAAGTGGTTTTGAAATCAAGAGTCAATTGCAATAATTGTCAAGAAGATTTAACTTATTTCTGTCGTAAACATGACCCACACAGGACTTATATCGCTTCTCGTTTCACAACACCAAATCGACAATGGTCAGTGATGGGTGTGCCAAATACAAAGGCCACGATGAGACGTAACAGTAGCATCAATACTTACCGGTCTTCCGGCAGATTAGACATACCGATCGCCAAAAACACAATTCATCGGTACTTCCATAACCAAACTATGGTTGCATTTTCATATCTAATGTCTCAGAATATTCAGATGTAGAAAAAATACTGTGGGAATAAATTTGGTAAACAAACAGCAATGGCGGTCAAATTGCGCGCTAAGATTGTAGCTGCAATGAAAGCCATAATTTGATTGGTTGAATTTCAAACTTCCGGCGCTTGTGTCAAAACTAATTTTAGTAACAACAAAAGCGTTCAGAACAATGAAAAGCACGCTACACCTGAATAAAACAATATATTAATCCCGTGGTAATATTGGTCTTATTGATACGCTCGAAATAGATGTACACACTAAATAGGACTGTAAGTATCATTCACAAGGGCGCCTAGTTCCTGGCTGCTTCGGGAGTCAGTCGTCAGTTTAAAAAGTTTATTTAATAGATTATACCAGAGACGTATAGATAATATACATTATATATAAAAAAGGATAAAATGTCCATGTGAAGGAAGTAAATATAGACAAAATAATACATCTATATAAGTACATAAAAATCACCATCATATATTCGGTATAGAAAAAAAATACAACAACAAAAAGGAAATTTAAAGAACAGAAATTAATCAAAAACATTCTTGCAATTGAAACGAGGAATTATGCAATATAAACCATATATCGTACCGTCAGCATAGCTTATACTTCATTTTTTTTTTAAAGTTTACTGCTTGCATTTGATTCTACTATGGTTTTTATGTATTAACACTGCCGTGCCCCGAGTTTTCCGTTAATTTTCGCACTAAAATAACCTAGCTTTATCGTTGATACTCCAGCACCGCTTTAAGGAATAAACACATTTTGAAACATTTAGAAATGGTGGAGAAGTACGTGTGAAAAGATGTAGACACGTCCTGTCAAAATATGGCATGTCGGAAGCTGTTTCTGAATGGTAACTCTCGCACAGGGAGGGGGGGGGGAGATGATGGAACTGATTTGCCCCGGATATTAATTGCACGGGATCACCAACGTAATTGTCTGGCTGGTGTTAACCGTCAGGAGATGGCGGAGAGGGACTTATATATACAATCGTGTTCATAATTTTATAGAACATCATCACTTTGTCCCTAGTCCCCTTAAAGCTTATGTTCGAGCGGTTCCCAGTTCAGCTGCAGTAGCATATGTTTGTGACACATCCAGTAATTCGGGCCGGTACTCATTAGAATGCTTATTGTTCAGAAAATTTCAACCTGTGAAATTTAGTGTCAGATATTTTTTGTTCCTTGTAGTTGTCTCGGCCGTCATGATCTCATTGGGACACATGTTATACATTTATGTGATAGAAAAGTCGACATTTTTTTTATAATACTAATAGGAAAGTCGACATTTTTGTGATGATACTAAATAGTTAGCCTTGTTGATTCGTTGTCACGATCCAGGACAGGTTCTTGTTTTGAAGACTCGTCATTACTTAGATTTAACGAGATTCGTCGATAAGCAAAAGATGCTTATAATCCACCCGGAACACCAGGACCCGTATAAATAATCGTTTTCATGTGCAAACTCAAATGCTGTGCTGAAGCCTAATTTTTCCTTGTTCTCCTTGTGAGTAATAATGATAGAATCCATCCCTGATGTGAAAACACCTTACGTCCGTTGTACTTCAGCTAACACTTAACTTTTTTTTTAACCGTCTTACGTGTTTTAAGCGAGTTACAAGAAAGTAGGTTTGAACACAGACTCATAGGCTGCAGCATGACTGCGGTTTCATAATTACGGACCCAGTGTCCGAATGAATGAAAAGTGAAGTTAAACATTCCAAAAATTTTCCTGTTTTATATAGCACCCAAATTCTTTAAAATCATTGACAAAATGTGATTTTATTATTAATCTATCACGGGATATACATACTGGAAAGTCTACTGTTTTATCAAACCATGACTAATTTTTTTTTTTTTGGGGGGGGGGGGGGGGGGGCATATATAATTTTTGTTCACTGTTTTGGTACCCTCTAACTTAACAAGCTTGGAATGTGACCTTTCTTCATTTTGTACCAGAAATGCGTCTTCAATTTCGACACCCGCCATTTTTTTTAAACAACGCTTACAGTTCCTAACAGGCCTTTTTGAACTGCGTTATTATCAGCATTGCCTTTTATGTCGTGTTTGAAATTCCCACCTCAGTGTTAGCTGTATTATAGACGACCGACGTAAGAAACCTGTTAACGGGAAACACTTGTTAGGTCCTCAATTACGTGTTAATCTTCTTTTTTATCAATCGTTGGAAGTGCTACATGTACTTCAGTGAACTTACGCGAGTCTATAATGGTCACAGCCGTATTGCGACTCTGTAGAATTAATGGAATGTAGATTTTTTAATGAATTCAAAATAACTTTTAATCAATCTCAAATGTGCCCGCCTTCAGAACTTTTGACTTTTCTAATTTGTATACTCCCATACTTCATAACAAACTGACGGAACGGACGGAACGTCTCGGTTCTCTAATAAAAAGCTTGACTGCTGCGCCAACATATGTCCAGGAACGGAAGGTATATATGTCTTCAAATAAATGATAAATCCATGACCCCCTCCAAAACAAGATGTATTGTGTCTTAAAATCGCTAGAATGTTCCCTTTTGCTATTTCTTTAAGCTCCTGCATACATTGTGTAGCGGAACTGGACTGGGTAGATTGCCGGCGACTAGGTAGCTCACTTGCATGGTAGAGCGTCCGTCTAGGATTCGAATTCCGTTCCGTCGGTGCATTAAGCCATTTCAGACTTACACTGTCGTTTATCATTTTCTTGTCTTTTAGTAAGCAGTGTTTAATGCCAGTCATTGTCATCTCTTTCTTCAGTATCACATTTCACATTTTTATATAATGAATATTTTACGTTACTATGTGGTTGACACTACTTGTGGATAATCTTTTCCCGAAATATTTATAGCTAGAATTTATACCCACGCGGATTACTTGAAATAAGAGCTGTATCAGAATAGATTATCTGTTGTAGCACGGACTTAGATAGCATCTAATCTGATTCCGTGGTTGAACTTCTAAAAGTTGTAGATTTACAAAGAGTTTCTAGGCACTTTTCTCTGTATTTATGAAATTTTAACTCGGACTACAGTCGAGCCCTAAAAAGACAAAATGTCCATATGGTGCAGATATTGTTTATTTTGTTTGGTTTTACGTATCGACACACTGAGTCTAATATAAGTTCATCAAACGTGCTTTTTGCATAAAGAAGCTGAATGTTTTTTAATATGTGCTTTCGTAACTAATAATTCTAGTGAGTATTTCATTCAAATATCTTCACCTTTTCAAGTACATTATCTCACGACACATTTACTGTTAACACTTTAACCCTTTTATTTTATTTTGTTTAACGGGCCATCAACATCTACCGTCATTTCAAATCAGGAAAATCTTGTCATATGGGGCGACCCATTTCATGCACTTTTTCTACCGTGTGATCCTGTATGATGTTATTTTCTGATTGGCCGTTACAACTACCGTGTGGTCCTGTATGATGCTATATTCTGGTTGGCTGTTACAACTACCGTGTGGTCTTTTAAGACGTTATTTTGCTGTTGGACTTTTAAGATTTAACAAAGAAAATAATCAAGGCATGAAATTAAAATTATCTTGGATGTATCCGGAGCTTTCTGGAACCACCTCAATTTTAAATGGGATTCAACGTTGTCTGTCAACTATTTTTTAACAATCCTTCCAGCTAGCACACAAATTATATGGGAAACTGACTTTCAATGAAAACTTCAGTATACTCATTTGATATAACATTTATTCCATAAAACAGCTAATCAAACATATCAAAACAAGACTTTTCAAGGGGAGGAACAAAACATACCGGGTGCATGTGTTATACAGCATACATTTAGACACCTTGCATAAAACAAAAGTATATTCATTCTACCTACAACCCTTCTGGTGAATTCTTGTAACAAAAATGTATCAAAATAAATGTAACAAGAAAACAATATGTATTTGTACATTATTCAAGATTTCTGAATGCCATTATATAACATTCTGTACTTTACTTCACCACCGACTTAGATAGCAATCTAATTCCGTGACGTCACACATCATTCTAGGACTTGGATATTTTTTTAAACTTTGTATACAGATTGCCTCCCTTTGTCCATTCAACGGAATTTGGTTAATATTTTCTTTACTTTTAAAGCAATATAACTACAAAATTTGAAGAAATTCTACTGAGAAATAGTGACAAAACCTATTACCTTAAACAGTGGCGTGAGACACATTTTCACTAGAACAATTTTGCCCACATGTCCCGTCATAGATTTCTGTATAAAAATAAACAGCTATCGAAAACATGAAACATAAATCCGTTTAATTTTTTATAACACTCAGCAGACAAATAAACAACTGGATAACAGAAATATGGCACCATTGCGCTCCAATTAAATTTCATTTTCTTACTTTTAACAGAAAGAAACGGGCAAAAGTACAAACACATTGGTCACTTCCATACATGTACTTTGATTGTATTGAAATGAAAACATAGGTAAGCATCAAATGGTCTTTATTCCATTTTTGAAGTACACTGTACATAATGGTTAAACAACATTTTGACAAATCGCATTAAATTAACATCTTTAATACTTTATGGATTGATAACAAATAAAACAAAATGTATTTATTGTATGGTACCAAAGTATATGTGATTGTGTTTCACTTGTTAGAAATAAGCACAAATGTGTTACCACACGAGGTAGATTACGACTTGACAAGACTTGTACACATTGATACTTGCAACTGTATTTTGCCAATCATGACTGACTAATATATATTGATATTTGTAATCGTATTTTGCTAATCACATCAATCAATGTTTTACTTAAAATAAGCACCATGTAATGAAGTAGATTAGCCTTTTGCCAAATATTTATTAACGTTGTTAAATAATGTTAATCATTATGGCTTGATCAGCACGCAGGGGAGCTTGTTAGGGTGTGTTTGTGAATGCGAAGGTATTTGTATGAAGGTATGTTTGTGAATATGTTATGGTTTTTACTTGTAGGCTTTGTTTTTGATTCAGGTAGAGCATACATTGCTGTTACTCATCCCAAACCACATTGTCCCATACTCTTGGAAGGCGGGTTTCCTGGACATACTTGTGTAGATAGGAACAGCTCAGTCTCATTTTGGCGTCCTCTGCCACAAAGTGTTCAAGTGCAGCCTGTGTGAGGAAAAACAGATAAATTAATTGATGACCAAAAGCTTTGGTGTTTGCCCTTCAGTGTTGCTTTCATTCAAGAATGTTTGCATAATATTTTTTTTAGATTATTTCTAATTTCTAACTTTGATATTTTCTTGTTCATCAAAGGACAGGCACATTTTATACCTTCTGAAATTTACCCAGAAATCATAAAAAGAATCTTCAGTCTAGGTACACTTGAAGTGTCATTGCATGATTCAGGAAGATGCACATCTAAAACATTAGCACTAACACCAAACAAGAGTATTTCATAGTATTTTGACACAGTCGACAACCGAGACCTTGACTGGTAACCGGATGATATTATAATCATTTGATGCCAGTCAAGTTCTAGGTTGTCAATGGTAGCCTCAAAGTGGCGGGTCAGTCAGTGTCAAACAGAAAATATTTTAAGGTTGGCCTAACACACTTGTCAAAGCCAAAAACTAACTATTCCATTACCTATTATTTAAAGTACATATACCTTTGTCATACCTGTATCTTCCCTTAGTCAGTATCTCTGTGATACCTGTATCTTCCCTCAGTCAGTAGGTTTGTGATACCTGTATCTTCCCTTAGTCAGTATGTTTGTGATAACTGTATCTTCCCTCAGTCAGTATCTCTGTGATACCTGTATATGCCCTTAGTCAGTATCTCTGTGATACCTGTATCTTCCCTTAATCAGTATCTCTGTGATACCTGTATATTCCCTTAGTCAGTATCTCTGTGATACCTGTATATGCCCTTAGTCAGTATTTCTGTGATAACTGTATATATTCCCTTAGTCAGTATCTCTGTGATACCTGTATCTTCCCTCAGTCAGTATCTCTGTGATACCTGTATATTCCCTCAGTCAGTATGTTTGTGATACCTGTATCTTCCCTTAATCAGTATCTCGGTGATACCTGTATCTTCCCTTAGTCCCTATGCCAGTGATACCTGTATCTTACCTCAGTCAGTATCTCTGTTATACCTGTATATTCCCTTAGTCAGTATGCCAGTGATACCTGTATCTTACCTCAGTCAGTATGTTTGTGATGCCTGTATCTTCCCTTAATCAGTATGTTTGTGATAACTGTATCCTCCCTTAGTCAGTATCTCTGTTATACCTGTATATTCCCTTAGTCAGTATGCCAGTGATATCTGTATCTTGTATATATTCCCTTAGTCAGTATCTCTGGGATACATGTATCTTCCCTCAGTCAGTATCCTTGTGATACCTGTATCTTCCCTCAGTCACTATCTCTGTGATACCTGTATATTCCCTTAATCAGTATGTTTGTGATAACTGTATCCTCCCTTAGTCAGTATCTCTGTTATACCTGTATATTCCCTTAGTCAGTATCTCTGTGGTAACTGTATCTTCCCTCAGTCAGTATCATTGTGATACCTGACTGAGGGAATATACAGGTATCACAATGATACTGACTGAGGGAAGATACATGTATCACAGAGATACTGACTAAGGGCATATACAGGTATCTCTGTGATACCTGTATATATTCCCTTAGTCAGTATCTCTGTGATCCCTGTATGTTCCCTTAGTCAGTATCTCTGTGATTCCTGTATATTCCCTTAGTCAGTATGCCAGTGATATCTGTATCTTGTATATATTCCCTTAGTCAGTATCTCTGTGGTAACTGTATCTTCCCTCAGTCAGTAGGTCTGTGATACCTGTATCTTCCCTCAGACAGAATCATTGTGATACCTGTATCTTCCCTCAGTCACTATCTCTGTGATACCTGTATATTCCCTCAGTCAGTATCTCTGTGATACCTGTATCTTCCCTCAGTCAGTATCATTGTGATACCTGTATCTTCCCTCAGTCAGTATGTTTGTGATACCTGTATCTTCCCTTAATCAGTATGTTTGTGATAACTGTATCCTCCCTTAGTCAGTATCTCTGTGATACCTGTATATTCCCTTAGTCAGTATCTCTGGGATACATGTATCTTCCCTCAGTCAGTATCTCTGTGATAACTGTATCTTCCCTTAGTCAGTATGTTTGTGATAACTGTATCTTCCCTTAGTCAGTATGCCAGTGATACCTGTATCTTCCCTTAATCAGTATCTCTGTGATACCTGTATCTTCCCTTAGTCAGTATCTCTGTGATACCTGTATATTCCCTTAGTCAGTATCTCTGTGATAACTGTATCTTCCCTCAGTCAGTATCTCTGTGATACATGTATATTCCCTCAGTCAGTATCTCTGTGATACCTGTATAATCCCTCAGTCAGTATCTCTGTGATACCTGTATCTTCCCTTAATCAGTATCTCTGTGATACCTGTATCTTCCCTTAATCAGTATCTCAGTGATACCTGTATCTTCCCTTAGTCACTATGCCAGTGATACCTGTATCTTCCCTCAGCCAGTATGCCAGTGATACCTGTACCTTCCCTTAGTCAGTATGCCAGTGATATCTGTATCTTCCCTTAGTCAGTATGTTTGTGATAACAGTATCTTCCCTCAGTCAGTATGTTTGTGATACCTGTATCTTACCTCAGTCAGTATGTTTGTGATACCTGTATATTCCCTTAGTCAGTATGCCAGTGATACCTGTATCTTACCTCAGTCAGTATCTCTGTTATACCTGTACTTTTTCTTATTATCAAATTGACATACGTATCTGTATCTTACCTTTGCCAATATCTTTGCAATCCCCTGTCCTCTGTAGGCTGAGGGTACCCCTGTATGATACAAGTCTACAAAGCCAGGTCTGATCCAGTCATACTCCAAAATAGCAGTATCCTTTTTTCTCTTTCCATCTGAATTCAAAACAGTAAGATTAACTATTTATATTTATATGATTTTTAATATTAATGTGTTGATGTTCACTTCGTTGTTATCTTTTTAAAGACATTAATTTCATGATCAATACACAACCAATGAAAATTTTATATTGCTACCTAACATTCTCATCATTTCATTGGACAACAGCCCTTAAATGACCATAGCTGTTAATAGGACGTTAAACAATACTTAACCAAACCAAACCAAACCAATCATTGGACAAGTGGTCAGTTATTAAATAAGGCGACGCCATTAGTGATTCAATATCTTTGTGAAAAATATTTCAAATGAAAAGATATAGCCTTTTACATTTCTGTAGTTAAAATATAACCATCAACAAAAAGTTACTTTGCTGGTGTTTTACAATCAGTATATACATATAAACAGTTCCTGACAGGGTCTTCAGTTATCATGTTTTGCCCGACCCTCATCAGCTAAGCTGTTTGCTTAGGCAGTTTGGGCCTCAGGTTTACAAAACCGTTGACTTTGAATAGGACCAGTTAACAGCTGTTTACCGTTTGGTAAAATGATGACACTTATTGCTAGAATCTAACATCTGTATTTGTTTCTCGTTTCAAGAAACATGTTAGCATCATTATCATCATCATCATCGTCTTCTTTTTCCTGGACAGGAGCTGACCCTAATGTATGTGCTTTTCCAGCGGTAGCAAGAATGAAGATGTAAAAATATTGGTTATCCTAACGCGTGTCTTGCCCATGTACAATGAATTCCAGTAAGTGATTATTATATTAAAGAAAAGATACTGATTTGCTTATATCAGACTTATGCATGGTATGGTGTAATAAACAGATAAAGCTAACTAGTGAAGTCCAACATTTACCCTGTTCTAAGTTTATGTAGAAAAACTTTTTCGTTTTGTCGTGTCCAACAATAAACGGCATGTCGGAGTCGCTTTCCTGTTTGTCCACTGAATCCGCCGTCCCTGCCGATTGTGGGCAGCCGGTGGTGCTCATTAGGTCAGCTCTGGGTTGGTTCATAGTCAATGGCTGACAACGAATCAAAGTTCGGCGTGTCCACAATGTGGACAAGGGTTTGATTAAGTTTCTATACGACATTACATGTCTAATGTGAGCAACACAAATAGAGTATTACCACAATCACCTTCTATCGTGTTGCCACCGAGATAAATACCGGCATTTGGTGCTTATCAGCTGACAACCGAATGATATTCAGGTTGGTTCGCTTGTAACCGGAAGTGCGCGTTAGGGTACTACATTTTACTGTAGTCAAGAAATATAATCAATTATCAACTGAACCTTATTTTCTAGGGCAACAATATATTGATGATGTGGCCAGAAGAATCACCTTAGCATGGATTGGTTTTTGAAAATCATATTTTTTCATTACTTTAAATGTTCTCTCTGATACCCTTGGACTTGTTTCCGTGGTATTAAATTTCAGTATTTAGTTTCTTTATTGTTTGAAATCATTTCCATTTATCTGAATAGAAAATATGTGTAAGTCTAGCAGAGACGTACATACTACTGGCTTTATATGTCTCTGAGTCAAGTAACCAAAAATTAAGGAACCTATAAAAATATAAATACACTTTTAAGGTCCCCGGTCCCACTGCACTGTGTTTTTCCTGTTACAGTAACCTCCCTTTAACTTCCCTTTAGATATAACTGAAGCACAATATACATATCTGAAGTCCAGAGTTCGAATCCCGGTCTGGCCCCGCTAAAGTTTTACAGTCAGAATATTGTTGTTGATTTATATTTTGTTGATCCCCCCNGTCCCGCAAGGTATGGTTTTCTTTTCAGAAATGATTTAACAAAGCTACAGTCATGCCGGAAAACCCCCAGATACCGATTGTTATAGCTTTTTGCAGTGGTACGGGCCTCCTTAAGTAGTTGTTGGAATGTTATCCTAAAACGACCATCAATTATAGGCTCAACGTTATCATGTATCTATGTTAAATTATTGTTGTTCGTATTTACAAATTGCAACCCGAAATAGTTCGCTAAAAATTACCGCATGTCCGTTACTACTTAACTTTCGTAAATCTTTAGACACTGAAGAAATATTTCCAAGTTATGTGATATAGCTTTTACATCTAAGCTGATTCACACATTTATTTCTTTTTTTCGTTTTTTTTGTAATCTTTTTTTTGTTGTAATTTTTCTGTTTTCGTCATTCGTTCTCGATGTCTTTTTCAGTTGCCTCATGATCAATGCTTATTAATCAAAGATAAGAGCAGAAACGGTTGTGTTTTTATTAACATTTTAATTTAACAATATGCCTTGCACTCCTTTCTCTCTCCATTTCATGCATTGTATCTACAGTACACAGATCTTATGTTCACTCATAGCAACAACACCAACAAGAAAAATGTACATTACGAAGTCATGTTTCACAATAGTGTTGAGTACTTATGTTTAAGTTTAGCTCAAACATACAAACCGACATTACATCCGAATCAGTAGAGTCGGAGACATATCTACATCTGTGTTAAGAGGTATTGGTATTATATACATATAGCAAATAAACAATCTTCACCGTGAAATCGAAAAATTCTTCATGAAGATATACATTTTAATTTGCGTAGATGATAATATCATTTCAATTTAATTTCAGTTCAGAACCGTTGTTAGTAGCCAAACCTTGCGAAATAAAAACACAAGATGTGCACGAAATGAGCAAGATTCAGTTAGAACGGTTGGCCAAAGGGGCATAATATACGTGGCATGCCCCCTCTGCTGAGGGGCTAAATCGGCTGGCAAGCCACCAAAACAATATATACATGTAATACAAATTACAATAAATATATATTACGATATGATACCACAGAATAGAATATATAACAACACAATACATTACGTATTACATACTTACTAATAAATATGGATTTTTGTATATGTGGTACGACACAATTGCTGTAACCCATATCAGCCCTCGCCGTATCACACCCCAAAACCCATATCAGCCCCCGCCGTATCACACCCCAAAACCCATATCAGCCCCGCCGTATCACACCCCAGAACCCGTATCAGCCCGCAAAACATGTATCACACCCCTTTTGGACATTTTTCGTTTTTCAATATTTAAAAAAAAAATAGATCTTAAGATAGTAGCTTTTATTAGTAAGTATGTAATAAACAGAATAAAACACGCCTTTTTCCATATAACTCCCAGTATCAACCCTCGGGCTGATATTGCAGTCTCGGGTTGATACTGGGTGTGATATGGAAAAAGGCATGTATTATTCTCTATTTATAATTACAATACACTATGTTTGATAACTTGACGGTCGTATATATCTTCATACATTTATAAATGCAATACATAATTTTAATGACAATAAAAATAAAAATATTCATAGAATGTTCATTGCTGCTGTTTATCAGTTAGTGGCGGATCTTCAGCTAGGGGTTTATTAGGCTCTAGAACAACCCCACCCACCCAAACCCCGATGCCCACATATGGAACACACACAGCCCTTTATTTTCATCACTGTACAACAGTTCAAGTCGATGTGACTGATTTAGTACATCGATGGTCAATATATGTCGTATATGTATGACATAGACTTGGCAGTGTTCTTTATAAGTAAAACTTGAGTAAGTAACCGTCTGAATTTCAGAACATCATGGCTGCCGTTCCTGCGTGTGTACGCGGAGCTCTGGACACGAGCGCCTGTTTGTCCTTTTGCTCATGTTCTTTAGGGCGCGCCTCTGTCGCCGTAATTGCCAAGATTTCAAGTGGATGCTGCTCTGTCGAGCTAAACTAATGGTTGACCCCCTCAACTCATCTGAGTTTGTGTTTTCTTTGTCATCGTCGTCACTAGAATCAGACAGTGACTCATCAAAATGAACTGACCGTGGTCGGATTTTGGGAGAACAAGATTCTTCGTTGACGTTTTCGTTACATTTCTCTTCGACACGCTCAAGAATACTTTCTGATGAACCAATAGAGTTGTCGCCGTCCAATCCACTAAGCCGATGCTTCTTTGCCAACCACGGGCGACGCTTTCTCCAGATGCGCAAGGACCTGTTCTGGATACTGTCTGTACGCGATAGAGATTCCAAACTCTCGTTCAAGGACGAATACCCGCCATCAGAAAAGCTGAGCGAGCTGTTTCCCGCCTTCAATTCGGACTCGAAGTTCCACGAGAGCTGGGAGGCTGAGGAAAGGGGACGTTTTGATCCCCTTTTTTTCTGTGTGAAGACGGACGATCCCGGCTCAGATAAGACAGATAACGGACGGATTTTCTTGTCCGATAGATCAGTAAGGGAAATACAAGATACGATCTGGACAGGTTCTGGAGGGGAGAGGTCCTCTACGCTGTATCGATGGTACCATTTGGATCGCAGGGCATTAAGTATAAACGCCATGGCTTGGCATGTGAATCTGGAAATATAACATAAACATGTCAAATATGACTCGCATGGAGAAAATATATTGAAAACCGCAAAGAACGGAAAAAACAAATTTCAACACCCAATATGCAGCGGTGTATTAGGGACCATTAATTCCTTGCGCACAAGTTTTACTAACATTTTATAAATCTGTAAGTATTTTGTAATTATTAGATATTTTTGTGACCCTAATACGCCATGAAACATGAATTAATGCCTGGCTTAATTTTCTCGTTTGTTGTGTCAACACATAACATTTGAGACAGATATAAAGATACGCACAGAACAAAGAAAAATACAAAACTTCAAACAAAAATAATTATAAAAGAGGAAATTGAAAAATATGGATGTTTGCCAATGTCCTGACGGACATATCCGACCCTTGACCCGTTAATCGTTTTTCTATTTCCTACGCTTACTCACTTCTGGGGTTTTACAGTTACACATGAGTTCTTTTCACCTGTATATGCTATTTTTATCAAGTGTTATAACTAGTTTGGGTTTTCCTTCCAATTATGTACCCCATCTCCTTGCCGTCAACTCTGAATACACAATTTACTTTACATTGTCAGATATTCGTCACGAAACCATTTAACAGAGAAAATGATACAAGGTATAATTTATATTTTTTTGAATACGTGTACATAACCATCAATCGTGACATGATTATAAAGATGGAGACAGGACACAACAGTATTATATGGCAGAGGTATTCAGTTCTAGGTCCAGACCAGTTATCTCGAGATGTAAGTAGTCCTGAACGCCACCGCTAAACAATGTTTATTGTAAAAGCACGGAACAGACATTTAACGGAATTTAAGGAAACGCGAGCATAAATATCGGATTACTTAAACCTGTTCGTGATATTTAATTAACGACCACCTGTACACAACAATCACAGGAACTAGCCTCGTCTGTCAATACACCTATAATATAGACATACGAGTTTAATAACGTGTGTCCTGTCTACGTTTGATTTTATCACTGTGACCGATCAATATAATTTTAACTCTTAGAATAAAAGTCACATTTACAACATTGACATTCTATTTTTCGAATGAAACGTGAACAATACTCAAGAATAAGAGATATTGTGTCACAATTTACTGTTTAATGATTAAGAAAATATTTAAACTTCATATTTCCAAACATAGATGAAATGCGAAAACCAATACCGGGGACTAATTAAATTTTCTTATATTATAATATCTTATACATTTTTTCTCGTCATTCCATTCATAATACATCTAAAAAGATCGTGTTTTGGGTTAACAAAGACATCATTCAAACTTAATTTTCCTTAAATAAACGTGTCAGTTTTAAATATGATATTTTATGAATTTGAAAAAGTGATTGGACGCAAGTTATGATCTACTCCTAAGATTTCCTCCTCCCCACAAAAAATACACTGTACATAGTTTTAGTATGACAGTGGTACACTTCATGAATTTATTCTACATCAAATGAAAATCTTTTATTTAACTAGCGATGCTGATGAAAAAAAGAAACGATTTGTGTACGATAAGTCAAATTTAGTTGACAAAAAGCATTTAAAAAATAATTATAGTCGGTATGTTTTAGCTGGTGTTGAATGAATCGTACACACTACCAAGCGCTCAAGTTTAAAATTATATCCAAGATAATACAGACAATTTAAATGCATGTACATGTACTTACCAAGCGGTCTGATGGTTTTAATCCGTATAAATGTCACAACCTTTGCTTCTCTTTCTTTTCACAACTTTAATGTTTTGGTGTCCGACATTTGTTTAAATACCCGCTTCCTCAGGTTATTACCATATGCAAATTAGCTCTCGGAATAAAATGACGTCACCAGAGGCAGGTAATTCCAATTGACTCATGTTCATACGGGCACCTGATCTGACCACTGAGAATGTTTGGGTACGGGTTCACCCCTACCTGGCCGGGGCCGCCTCTTCGCACCTGACCGAAGATAATTTGACACCATAAAACAGTTTATGTCAATAAAAACTCACCACAAATCCCCCATGTGTACTACGCTTGACGTCGTTCGCCTTATAAATCCTTACATGAAAACCAAAAGTCGCAGATATCTTGCAACTTAACTTTTCATTTTAAAATATTCTTTCAAAAGAGAAAATAAATTTATGTCAGCTATTAAGAGTATTTATAATAGATCAAACGTCTTTTGGGAGATTTTTCTTTAACAAACATTTCTTTTTACTCGATAATTCTTCATTCACGCAATATAACACTTTTCAGTATAAATTGAAAGTGCTGAATACATACATCTAAACCTGTCAATCACACACTGAGATAATGATGGGTGCTCAGTATACCAGGTGTTCATATCCCTCTCTGAATATACCCGTACCGACTGCATTTCCCGCTAGGTGTGTTCAAACTCCCTCTCTGAAATACCCGCATCGGCTGCATTTCCCGCTAGATGTTCACAGACCCGCTCTTTAGATACCCGCATCGGCTGCATTTCTCGCTAGATGTTCACAGACCCGCACTGTGGATACCCGCATCAGCTGATTTCCCGTTATAGATGTTCAAAGCTTCACTCTGAATATACCCTTATCTGCTGCATTTCCCGCAAGGTGATCACATATCCACTCCTTGAATACCCGCACCGGATGAATTGTCCGCTAAGTATTCACATCTCCTCTCTGTATATTCCCACGTATCGGCTGCATTTCCCGCTAGGTGTTCACATTTCCTCTCTATATATTCCCGCATCGGCTGCATTTCTCGCTAGGTGTTCACATCTCCTGTCTGAATATTCCCGCATCGGTTGCATTTCCCGCTTGGTGTTCACATCACCTTTTTGTATATTTCCGCATCGGTTGCATTTCCCGCTAGCTGTTCATATTTCCTCTCTGTATATTCCGCATCTGCTGCATTTCCCGCTAGGTGTCCACATTTCCTCTCTGTATATTTCCGCATAGGCTGCATTTCTCGCTATATGTTCACATCACCTCTCTGTGGATAACCGCATCAGCTGCATTTCCCGCTAAATGTCCACATCTCCTCTCTGTATATTCCGGCATCGTCTGCGTTTCCCGCTATCTGGTCACATTTCCTCTCTGTATAACCGTATCAGCTGCATTTCCCGTTTGGTGTTCCCATCTCCTCTCTGTATATTCGTGCATCGGCTGTGTTTCCCGCTATCTGTTCATATGCCCTCTCTGTATATTCCGCATCGGCTGCATTTCTCGCTAGGGGTTCACATCTCCTGTCTGAATAAACCCTTATCGGCTGCCTTTCCCGCTAGGTGTTCACCTCTCCTGTCAGAATAAACCCCTATCGACTGCATTTCCCGCTAGGTGTCCACATTTCCTCTCTGTATAACCGTATCAGCTGCATTTCCCGTTTGGTGTTCCCATCTCCTCTCTGTATATTCCGGCATCGGCTGGGTTTCCCGCTATCTGTTCACATTTACTCTCTGTATATTACCTCATCGGTTGCATTTCCCGCTCGGTGTTCACATCTCCTGTCTGAATAGACCCTTATCGGCTGCATTTCCCGCTAGAAGTTCACAGGCTGCATTTCCCTCTAGGTGTTCACATATCCTCTCTGTATATTCCCGCATCGTCTGCATTTCCCGCTAGGTGTCCACATTTCCTCTCTGTATAACCGTATCAGCTGCATTTCCCGTTTGGTGTTCCCATCTCCTCTCTGTATATTCGTGCATCGGCTGCGTTTCCCGCTATCTCTTCATATCCCCTCTCTGTATATTCCGCATCGGTTGCATTTCCCGATAGGTGTTCACTTCTCCTCTCCGTATACACAAAAATATTAATATATCATATGTGAAGTATAATTCAGATCACTGGATATATCTTAATCACCATGGATAACCGCATCGGCTGCATTTCCCGTTAAATTTTCACATCTCCTCTCTGTGGATAACCGTATCAGCTGCATTTCCCGTTTGGTGGTCCTATCTCCTCTCTGTATATTTCCGCATAGGCTGCATTTCTCGCTATATTCTGAATATTCCCGCATCGGTTGCATTTGCCGCTAGGTGTTCACTTCTCCTCTCCGTATACACAAAAATATTAATATAGCATATGTGAAGTATAATTCAGATCACTGGATATATCTTAATCACCATGGATAACCGCATCGGCTGCATTTCCCGTTTGGTGGTCCTATCTCCTCTCTGTATATTCGTGCATCGGCTGCGTTTCCCGCTATCTATATTCCCGTATCGGCTGCATTTCCCATTAGGTATTCACATTTCTTCTCTGTATATTACCGTATCGGCTGCATTTCCCATTAGGTATTCACATTTCCTCTCTGTATATTTCCGCATAGGCTGCATTTCTCGCTATATTCTGAATATTCCCGCATCGGTTGCATTTGCCGCTAGGTGTTCACTTCTCCTCTCCGTATACACAAAAATATTAATATAGCATATGTGAAGTATAATTCAGATCACTGGATATATCTTAATCACCATGGATAACCGCATCGGCTGCATTTCCCGTTAAATTTTCACATCTCCTCTCTGTGGATAACCGTATCAGCTGCATTTCCCGTTTGGTGGTCCTATCTCCTCTCTGTATATTCCCGCAGCAGCTGCATTTCCCGCTAAATGTCCACATCTCCTCTCTGTACATTCCCGTATCGGCTGCATTTTCCATTAGGTATTCACATTTCCTCTCTGTATATTTCCGCATCGGCTGCGTTTCCCGCTATCTCTTCATATCCCCTCTCTGTATATTCCGCATCTGCTGCATTTCCCGTTAAAGGTTCACATCTCCTCTCTGTATATTCCCGTATCGTCTGCATTTCCCGCTAGGTGTCCACATTTCCTCTCTGTATATTCCCGCATCAGCTGTATTTCCCGCTAAATGTCCACATCTCCTCTCTGTATATTCGTGCATCGGCTGCGTTTCCCGCTATCTGTTCACATTTCCTCTCTGTATATTCCCTCATCGGTTGCATTTCCCGCTAGGTGTTCACATTTCCTCTCTGTATATTCCCACGTATCGGCTGCATTTCCCGTTTGGTGTTCACATTTCCTCTCTGTATATACCCGTATCGGCTGCATTTCCTGCTAGGTGTTCACATTTCCTCTCTGTATATTCCCGTATCGGTTGCATTTCCCGCTAGCTGTTCTCATTTCCTCTCTGTATATTCCCGCATCGGCTGCATTTCTCGCTATATGTTCACAGCACTTCTCTGTGGATAACCGCATCAGCTGCATTTCCCGCTTGGTGTTCACATCTCCTGTCTGAATAAACCCTTATCGGCTGCATTTCCCGCTAGATGTTCACAGGCTGCATTTCCCGCTAGGTGTTCACATATCCTCTCTGTATATTCCCGCATCGGTTGCATTTCCCGCTAGGTGTTCACTTCTCCTCTCCGTATACACAAAAATATTAATATATCATATGTGAAGTATAATTCAGATCACTGGATATAGCTTAATCACCATTGTCTTAATATTAGTTTGTAAAATATGTTTTTGATACATTTGTTTGTTCAACAAAATATATTCAGCAATTGTAACCCCTTGTCAAGTTACATGCGTAAGCGTGCGTGTCGTACGCTAAACATCATCGACAAAAATCTTGAAATCTTGAGGAGCCTGTCGGCTTCATAATTAGTCATGTACGTGCATGTACTTTAGGAAGTATGTACAATACAAATATTACATTTCAGTTGAGGAAAGACAACATGGCGCTTTGCAGAGACTGGAAATTGTTGGTCTGCTGCTCCGATAGGGTTTTGTTGATATTCGTTTGTAAGCATCAAAAAACACATGACGTCATTTCCATTTTTTTTAAATGTAAGTTGTTTGCGATTTTATCGGCGCTTGTCAGTCATGCTATCTGCTTAAATATGTCTTGGCATGAAAAGAAAAAAATACCCACCACTACTTCCGGTTGTTGTCGGCTCTGATTTCCCAACCGTTACTTCGTATAATTGAACACGTAACCGATTAATGACAACAAGCTTTATTATTAAAATTTAACAAAAGTCGAATGTATGAATCAGAGGTAGGATTTCTGCGCCAGCAGATACCTAGCTGACCTCGGGTATTTGACCCACTTATAAACCGCAAACTATAACAGTGTGTGGTTCTAGTGACGTAGGCTGTGGTAGAGGGACGCCAACAATGTGCTGCCGTATCCCCGAGGGTGGGGCGCTCTGATCTCAATGGTTGCTATGGGAGAAAACAAAGTCAGAGAGAAGATCTAACCGTTTACAAACCGCTCTAAAACCGCAATAAAGCTGTACTGTTTTCAAAACACACTCGTTCTGTGGTTTGTAAACGGGAATATCTATTGGAAATGTGGTCAACTCGACAAAAGGGAACCCATCTTTATTCTTCCGGGTCAATATCATCAAAGATAACGCGGTACCAGAGGCAGAAATCGATTTAGAATGGCCAGTTAATATTGACAAATAGAAAGTTCATTGTTAGAGCGATGACCTTTCCTTGATTTGGGTATATATATACAGAAATTTTATTTATAAGAGTACTGCGCATAATATCCAACTTCCTCAAATATTGAACATTATAGCAGTACATTGAAATGTAGTTTCAATATGTGTCAGGCTACTGAAATGTTTTAATTGCGTCGTTAACTATACGTGTCAAGGACAATGAACACATTCTTTAGACAAGTATTGCATCAGATATATATAATTACACGTTACAGTCACTGCCACCTCACGGGGTTTTGTCTATAGCTGACGAGTAAAATGACAGGTGAAAATATATATCTATATTTGTAATAAGTTATTCTTACACATACAGTATACATGTACCTTTGCACGCTTCTGTGTGTGGTGTAAGGTATTGCTTACAGAAACCGGAAATATTTCAAATGTATG